GGTTGACGCGTTACATATACTGTAACAAGTTGCGTTGCACTTACGTACAAAGAGCGGTCCATGTGACTCACGTGCTCGCCGCGATCTGCCTCCCACTCCAGGCTTTTCCGTCTATCCGTTTATTTGACATAATGCGTGTGTAAGTACATAATATACATTGTCTTCCCATGTCGTCCTAACATTCAAAATTTGCCTGCCGTTCTCGTCACGGCCGTGTTTTTTTTCTGTCTTCCATCTAGCTCGCTATCGTCCACGCTTTCCCCGCTCTTCCGTAAGCTTACCCGTTCCCGTTTTTTGCTTCCAGCGGTTCCTCGTTTTTTTCTCCTCGCCCTCGTACATGTTCCGTGCTCTATCTTCGCGGAGCCCTGCAAAGCTTTTCTGTCGCCGCGTATTCCTTTCTTCGTCGTGTACCCGCGTTTTTTGTCGCTTAAATACTTTTTCTCCTCCTTTTGTCTCTGCACTCTTCACACACACAGACATGCGCGCGCGCGCTGTGTTCCTCTCTTTTTATCTCTCGTTCGTTCTCCGTCTAATTCCTTCAAGCTCCTCGTCCTTTGTATATTCACTTTCCCCCTGTACACTTGTTCTCGCCAGTCTCGCTCGCACTCTTCCCGTTTCTAAACTCGTTCCCTCTTCCGTTCCTGGTTCTCGGCCTCGTCTTTCGACGGAGCCGAACATAACTCCGCTCGAATGCACGCGGTCGAAGTGCACACACACATCAGCACTGCCAAGAGTGCATGCGGGTGTCGGCCACGTGCGCGGCGCACTTTTTGCTCGGGAACCGTGGCTTTTATAGGACCGGCCCTCGAGCGCGAGCCGCTCTCGGACTTTACTCCCTTTTTCGGGTCGAATGACTGGAGTAGGCTGTTCCGTTCCCTATTCAGAAGGACGATTGGGATTCTGCTTTCCGTGGTTTCCTTGTTCCAGCGTTGAACTCGTCAAGTTGGATACTCGTCGAAGCTCCTTGACGTAAAGCTAGAAGCAACTGTCTAAAGATTTTCAAAATTCGAAATTAAACCTTGTGCTGGTAATTAAACTGTTACTTTATCCTTATTCTGTGAACGATATAAGTACATATACTCGAATTTAATAGCTCAGTAGCTGAAACGTAACACTCGAAGCCATTACAAGCAGGATTATTCTATTTGCTTCACTCTTCCAAACGCTAGATGTTATGTAATAGTGCGGATAGACATAATTGAGCAGAATATTTCGCGGCTATCGAAAGAGAAATTCGCAAGAACACAGAAAATTGCAGGAGAAAACGTAAAAACGGGCGGCCGGTCGGTCGCGCAGAGTTGTGTTGATAATGAAACGAACCGAATTCTGGTATAAATCAGAATTAGGCTCGTCGTTTATCACGCTTAACGGGCCCGTAAATCACGCGGCGGGCCGTGTACAAGCGAGATTTTCTTGCTGGGATAATAATTAGCCTGGCCGATTATTATATAAACCTCTTTCGGTGAAGGTCTGTTCTCACGCGGCTCACCGCGGGTAGTGACATTTCGCGAGGAAAAGCGGAGGTAGAAAGCGCGAATGGCGAACGAACGGGGAGGCGTCCCGATATCTTCGGATAAGCAGTTGGGAGGCTATTTTGCAAGCGCGGTGAAAAGCGGCAACCACGGCACGGCTAGCTGGCTGGCTGTTACGGCCACCGCGTCTCTGGCTTCGCTTTTACGCCGCGTCGAGATTTCGCGATCCCCGGTGCACGGCTAATCGAACCGGGTAGGCGACGATCTGCGGCCCGATGCGCACGCGCTCGAGTTGCACAAGTGAAAGAGCCTCGGAGTCGGGTACTGTGCCTCCGTGGACGTGTTTACTCGAAATGTCAAGGATGCAACCGCGTGCGCTCGCTCGCGCCACCGAGCGGACCTGGAGACAATGGCGGCCCCAGGCGCGGGAATTGTTATTTTGTCACGCATCGACTTTCGATCGGCGAGACGCGAAAAATCCATGGGAGTAAATGTTCAGGTTGCCGATGATATTCTCTTTCACCGCGGTGTTTTCTTTTTCTTTTATTTTTTTCTTAAATTGTTAATTCCTGGTTGGAAAGTAGTATCGAGTACCATTTTCGTTGAAAGGGAAGAGCCTTGTAAAGTCTTTATTTTACATAGTCTTGTGTATTTATATAATTATAGAGTATTTTTACGACTAATCGTAGTCAGTAAAAATGTAATCGATGTATTTGAAACAGAACGCTTCAAGACTGGCGATTCTGCTAAGTTAATTAAATCTGAAGCAGAAGTTTATGTTGAAGGAGAAGGTGTTAAACGGGTTCTCTTTTAATCGCTGCGTCGACCGGGGTACAGGAACGGATAATGAAGTCGAACGATGAGTCAGTGATACAGCCGCTATTATTCACGCTACTGCGTGATACTGTAGAATTTATTGCGAAGTATTCAAAATTTTTCAACGACGGTTTATCGTTACTCCGATACCAAACTCAAACAGTTTCAGTGCATCGATAATCAGTACGCGATACGTCACGCGGCTCTCATTATCGCATTTCGAAACAATGGAGCATCAATCAGACTCAATATGCAGCATAGTACAAAAATATTTTCATGGTTCAGAAGAGAGAAGGAAATGTCCACTCCGCAATCTATTTTGTTATAATTGCGTCTCTAATATTCTTCTTCAGTCGTATGTACACACGTACTAACCGTTTTCACGTGAAAAGCATGTTAAGCGTTGGGTTTAGTATCTGAAAACCGAAATATTAACAATCATAGAAACCATATTTCCCCATGACTTTTGAAACTAAAGAAATTCCTTATATAACATTTATAACTACCAATGCTATAATCGAGAACCTAATAAAATCATCTCCTATAAAAAAATGTCCCAAGCATCCATTCGTGTTTCGTTTCGCCAAAAGAGTCCATTCGTTAGTCGTGGACGGCCAGACAAGCGATTAAATACTTCTGACCGGTACTGTACACGAATCGTCAAGGCTTCCTTAAAACTAGTTTCTCCGACTGACCCTGACCCCTCTCGTCGCGCTCTTAATTACCGAAAGCGACATAAAACCGTTCCCGGGTCCTCAAATGCATTTCTGTTTACCAGTTTCGGAGCAAATTGCGCAGCGGTTATCTCGTGTCTTCGACATAAAACTCGAGACAGTGGCAGCCTTAGGACATTATCGAACGAAAAAGCGCTTCTTCGAGCTTACTGCCTGAAGATAAAAGTATGTCGTGCTTGGACGAGACAGGCAGTCTGCCGCGACTTGTTGATACGAAACGTTCCCCTTCGAGATATCTCTGGACGAGGTTCGAACACCGCGTAACAAGTAGTTTTCATCGTTAGGAAGTACGTTCTATACGATGTATTGAGGTTTTCGGGTGTAAACCGTGTCCAGTAGTAATGTTTTTTCAACGATTCACCATCATTGCAGCTGATGTTCAGGACAGTTAGAAACTATTGATATAATCACTGATGCGGGAGCTGACTATAGGCACTACATCGAAAGTGTCTTCTTAGATGCACATTAGTATGAGTGCGTTTCGGACTCCTGATGAAGTCAAGTGCAATGATGACGTTGGGAAAATTTTCCTACTGGACACGGTTTGTTGATTACAAGGATTAAATTAGCTTTTCACGTTTATTCACATAAAATATTCAATATATTTTCGCATTTGTAATATATGTCTCAGTTAGCATTTTAATTCAAATGTAGTGTATGGAAGAAAAAGCAATTCAAAGCGGATGAAACGCCCCGGAACAAACTTCCACATACCATAATTCCGTAGCTTATGTTCCTCTCTATAAACTTAACTAACCGAAAATAGTAATGTTAAATAATCGATGAGATCAAGTTTTGTGCTATTGTTTCTCGTATTAAACCCACAGCTTACACTCGAAGCCTCAATTCACAATAACCTTCCAGGCTGTAAAAGCATCAAATCTATGTTCGATATGGCTCTTTTCCTCGATCGGATCGAAGAATAAGAACCGCGTGACGTTGGTGCGTGTATGGTTATTTGCGTGTTGAAACCGCGAGATGAAGGCTGTCCGGGATCAGTCGTTATAAATTTTCAGACAATCATTAGCCAACAATGTCGTTCGTTGCCATTAGAGGGCAACCGGTCGCCCAGCCGTTGTCTACCCAGTGGCATTAAACCTTATAAGCAAAGCGTACGGTCCCGGCGCGTGCGTAGATCGTAGCATTTCCATTGTGTGACGCAACGCGCCGGCCTCTCGTCGGCGATTAATTATCGATCGCGAATCCAGATACGCTCGATGCGAATCGTACACGTAATTCGTTGATCCGTGTTCCCCTGCGTACGGTGTATCGCGTTCGTTCGTCGATTCCCTGACGCAGAGAGATTGCTCGCGGCGATCGGCGCGGTGATGAATCGCGGCGGACTTGCTCTTTAGAGATGATCGAAGAAAGCCGTCGCGCTCGAACGTGCGCGAGACGTTTCGTCAGCGGCTCTTGGAATTGTAAAACAATTAAATTCGATCCGTAACGGTTTTCTTATGTAATTGCATGTTGATACCTATACTTCCCACATACGGGATACACCTTGTCTGTCCCCGCAAAAACCAACGCTTTCATGCTTCTTATAAAATGATTAACTAATTTACTATTGTTTTAGTAATTTCAAAACATCATGGAAGTTCATATTAGATATTGTTCCATTCTCAGTAGATTGATCTATGTTTCACGCTAGAACAACCGGATAAGTCACATTATTATTAAATTCTTTTTTTACAATTATCGAAAATACATGATTATCCAAGAAATTACTGAACAGATTGATTTAGTAATAGACCAACTGAATTACATATGAATTGAAATCCTAATAAATGTACTCTTAAAGTTCCTATGAAAAGATTTAGGAAAGTCGACTGCTCGGTACTTCTATCATTGAGTACCTTTTACTAGCAACTTGTTAATTTGCTATCAGTTTACTGTAATATAACCTTACTATTAGTTTACCTTAATATAACGTCCAGTGCCGGTCGAAAATTCAAGAACTTTTTGTTCTGTTGCACAGATCGATTGCCTCGACGAGCAGGCGACGGTTTCGGATCCCGAGAACACCCGGTGGTCCTGGTCGACTCGGACCTGTCCCGTCTCCCGCTGCCGGACCTGGTGTTGTCTGCGGTGGAGCAGGTCGAGCAGCTTCCGGCCGCGACGCCCCAGGTGACCGTGTCCGCGCCGAGCAGCCCGACGAGGGACGCCGCTTTCCAGTTTCCGGAGTGCAGCAGCGATGAAGCACCCGTACCAAGCCCGAGGCCGCGGCCACGGAGACGCAGGCTCGCCTCGGAGGGCGGCGCTGTGAAGAAGGGGCCCGTCGGCGAGTCGGCCTGCAACAACTGCTGCGGTCACTTCGGCCAGGCCTTCAACGAGAGCCAGTGGGCGAGCGTGGGTGCCAACCTCAGGAACATCGCCGACGACTTCCACGCGTCCAAGACCAAGGTCAGTGCACATTTAACGATCCAGAGGAATCTGGAATTCGCGAAGGTGGACTCCGATCACTTTGCAACAGAGAACATTATACATACGTTAGTAACAGTTTAAATTGAATTTGATCGTCACCCGTTTTTAGTGGAGGAGAATAGTTTTGTAATTCGGATTTTAAAAATTGTCAAAATCTCACCGATAATTTTGAGGATCGATTGAAACTGAAATTCTTAACGTCTTCCATCTGGAAAACCTCGAAACTCGTTATTTATCCGACACTGTTTCACAAATATCCTGAAACCTAAATATTAATAACGTTGGGGTTCGCAGAATATCCAAACCACATGCTACCTAATTTAAAAAGCAGAGTATGATTCCGTTACCGTTCCCTCCCCGCCGCAGTTCCACCGTAAAACTTGCCGAGAACGGATATAGCCCCGCGCGCCATTACATTTTTCAGACGCGTTCCCGGCGCGCATATCGCAAAGTGTTTACGACGAGAAGAGTACAGGTGTAAGGTAGCCGGTGTAAAAATAATTGTGTAGCGTGGGCGGTTCGAGCCGCCTGTCACGATTCGCGGCCACCCCCGCCGCGCGATGCCTTTTATTCGTCGTAAAGCCACCCTTATATCGCGGCCGTTATAAAACACCCCACCGAAAATACGCGGATGCTGGTGACGGGTTCGGCACGCACCCTCCGACGCGTTTTACGCCTTTAATTTCTAAATTAATTTCGAACCGACGTACTCGGAATTCTCTCGTTCCTCGAGCATCGGATTTTCCGGGAAAATTCCGACACCCTTCCAGACTGGTGCAGGTTTCCCCGGTGTGCAAACAAAAATTCCGTTGCGACTCACGCGGCCAATCCCATGAAATCGATTTCGCTAGGAGCTTTCTCACCCTCAGATGTCTTGGTCCGCGATACCGACGATTTAATGGTGCCAGGAATGATTCAGTGTCTCTCGTTTCACGGCGGTGTGCCAGAGCCACGTTTTCCTCGCCGCGGAAAGAGAGAAATTGGCGGCTGGAGTGGGTCAGCCGGGGCCATAAACGCGAATTTAGTTATATCGGTGGCGGCGTCGTTGTCCCACGGGCGTAATAAATATCTGCTCGCCACCGTTAAGACGTCTAGTATCGCTCCCACCGTGTACGACCCCGCGACGCGGCCACTTCATCACCGGCCGACCTCTCTTCCGAACACGACTGCCGCGCTCGATCAAATATGTATCGGCCAGAGAAAACGGTGGCACAACTGATTTTATGAGGCGCGTTTTTCCGTTGTTCGGACAGCGAGACCAAAGTGAAATAAACAGGAATGCCGGAGGGAAGGGATTGTTTGATTTTATTGAGGCGGGTTTTATTCTATTTCCATAGCGTTGGAAGCGATTCGTCGAGTGTGCATCGTAAATAGATTACGAAATCGTTGATGATTTAGCCGTGGAGTTCTATCGACAGACTTGTAGTCAAGATGATCTTCAAGTTGTTCCTTCTTTTTCGAAACAAGATAATGATATAGAGGCAATTACAGTGGCAGTTCAAAGGAAGAGTATAATATCATCTTACAGTGTAGAACTGTAATTTTCAACGATAATCGATGCTTTATAAACATATGAAGTAAAGTCAAGTTAAACTAAAGTTAAATTATATTTACACTGAACTTAACAAAGATAAACTTCTTGTCTGTCACTCTACGTCTCACTACGTAACGTCTTTCGTTAACGATCAAGCTATGATATTTAATGCGTAGGTAACAGTCGCTTAACCGGCAGAGAAACAGAACTAATCCCCGTCGCAATCACTCACAATAGTATCGTCGGCCGGGTAAAGGCGAGTCGGAGGATAGTTTCTCCCAGGACGATTATTACGGTCGGTCGTTCTTTTCACTGTGCGTCGACGACAAAAGCGGAAAGTCCTTTCACAGTTTTACGAGATTCCCCGTGATTTGCCGCGGCCGATTGAAAGAAAGAAGCCGAAAGAGCGGCAAGAAAGACGGCGGGCGGTGAGGGACGAGGAAAAGAGATGCACGAGCTGGAAGGGTGTTCCTTTCTTTTATCCCCGTCTCGACTTTATTCGCTTTAAAGGTCCTCGCCAGCGTGATATCCAATCCCGGAACATCTAATTATTGCTGGTTAAGTGGTGGTAATTGAAGGGGGGCGAACGGACCCGTGAAATTGAAGAAATCCCCGCGCTTCCTTGGCCCGCGGGTTCCTCGGAGATCGGATACCGATCGCTCCTACGATTCGGTACCTCGAGGACCGGCTTGTTGATAATACGAATCGTAGCGAATTCTCGGCGTGATTGTCTACCCGGCCCTCTCCTCTGTTTGCGTTCCAGCCGCCCCCGGGGGAATCGAAGTGTCGGATTAATCCGACGACGCTCACGAGCGGATGCCGAGGGAGGAAGGCGAGGAGCTTTCTGTTTCGCCCCGTGTTCTGGATGTAGACGTGGATTTGTCTCTTATCTCTGGCTCCTCCTCTCATCCACTTTTATATATTTGCGGAGCTTGATACGTGTCTTTGGAAACGTTCGCACAGGCGGCGATCGTAAGATGGGGAGATCGTAAAGCTGAAACTTCGTCTTAGAGTCACTTTATACGAAATAGAAACTGAAGACGATATTACCGTACAGTCCTTTACTGCCGGTTTTATGTCAGTCGTCCCTGTCGTACCTCGACGCTAACTTTGCCACCCCTGAATCACAAGCGTTTCGAAATTTTCGAGTCGAGACGTGAGCTATCCGTTGTTCGGACGACGATAATTCCAATTTATTCGACTGCGAAACTTTCCCGTAAACAATCCCGAACTGCGAGGATCGTTAATATTTCACGGTTACCGAAATCAACAGGGAAAACTTTCACTCCCCCTGCGTCCGTGTCCTCATCACCGACAACAACAGGTGTTTCCGGCCGGGTTTCGCTTTCAATCGAGCGGCGTATAGACGGGTCCAGCTTTTATCAGATGTTGTCACGGTAGTCGGGTGTTCTCCGTTGGCTCCGTCGTGAACTTTTAGGATCACAGCGGAAGCTGGGTTGATCAGAGAACGCGTCGTCATGCGTAAGTTACGAGCGCGGTCCTCGTCTTTCCCCATTCGTTATGGGAAACCACCGCTTTACATATGCATGGAGAGTAAGCGAGCATGTAACGGCTAAGTGGTCACATCCCCTTACGTGAAAGTTAAGTGGGCATGGCAGCACGAGCCGTGGCCACGGGCCAAGAAAATTATCTTCAATTATCTCGTGCAATCGCAGCCCCCTTTCTCTTCGTGTTTTCCTTCGCCGCTCGACGTTTCTCATAGATTTTCTCACGTGTTCTACCACAGTGAACGTTCTAAATATTATCATTCGTATCTTTTATTCGACACATTGAGATTTTTCTATATTCTTCGCAGACAAACACAACGCGCAAACTGTTTAATAGCAAAAGCAAAATAACCCCTTCGTTAAAGACATTTCGTAAAACAATCTCTAGAAACAGATTATCACGTATTCAAACACGATGCACGGTTTCCGGACGCAATTTTTCCAAAGTTAATGTCTGTAAAGACGGCTCGCAGTTAGAAGAAACGTTAAACGCCCATAGGAGAGCGTTTAAACGTCCGAGAGATCATCCTTCCGAGAAACCGCGGGGAAGATGAACTCGCGGAGGCGAATAGAAAATTGCTGACGCCGCGGACAGATAGTATAATCGCTGCCCAACGAAGTTGGGCATGCCGCACCTCGAGATAAAACTCATCGGCATATGACTTAGTCATAACGATGGGCCTGATGTTATTGGCCTCTCTCCTTAGCGGAACCCCTCACCAAGGGAGCACCGTACAGCCGGCGCCTGTACGATACCTGTGCTTGGAATAACCTCTCCTTCACCCGTAGGATCATCAGAAGAGAAGACCGCCCCTCGCGGGGCGCGACTCATTTAGCCGTCCTGTCCGGTAATACCCGTCGAGACAGAATATTACCGTCCAGGACGTTACCAGCGGAGACCACGAGGAGGCTGAGTCGCATTCGGTCTCTAGCGGGCTTACAGGACAAGGTTTTGTAAGAGTTTTGATCGCAACAAGTTGCCATCACACCCTCTCGACACATAACTTCCGTTAGGTCGTTATGCCTGCGCCGTCGAGACGCCGCGGACAGGATAAAACATTTGCTCGGACTCAGTGCAACAAATTTCCGCGAACAGGGAGTAATTTACGCGGCGCGCGGCTAATGAAACGTTTCGCCGGCATTCATCAGTTATTTAAACGATCGGCCAACGCGCGCGGATTGATACATTAGACTACGGCTGTTCGGTGGTAGTATAACGGGTTTATCTGCTGGCGTGGCCGGCAAGAAAGCTCCTCCTCCCTGTTTTTGTCGCGAATTAGTTGCAAGAAAGTCGATCGTCGGTTCGACAGCACGCGATCCAGATCTCAGCTGTCCGGGGTTTATGTCTTATTTCCACGTTCGGCGGGTCTCTGTCGGCTGTATCCTCGGATTTTATCGTCCGTTGCCGTTCCAACGGTGCGTTGCGCATTTGCCGATCGCTTGGTTGGCCGGTTGCTGCTCGGGCTCGGTGTCCCGACCGCAGACCTCCGTTTTCCATTGGCTTTTTCTTACGTGGCTCGACGAAACGCCGGCCCGATCGGCCGTTTCCACGGCGAACAGCGCAATTACGTTGCACAATAATCCCTTCTGGCTTCCAGTAGTCGTTGGCTGCCTCGCTTCCATGCAGACACGGAGTGCCGTTTATTTATCCTCCGCGCCGTTGCACCGGACCGCGCACACCTGGACTCTCTCCCCGTGTAATGGTTATCGCGAGGAGTGCGCGTAATTGCCGCGATTTTTCCCTAGCGATCCGTGACTACTGATAAGGATAAGCGGCGCGGGATTGGTTCTTTACCGCCCAATGACCGTCCTTTTTTTTTCCTCGCCGTGTTTTCCCGTTATCGGTGGAAGTCGTATTCGAGAGAGTCAGCTGAAATCTGACGACGCTTTCATCGGCAACACACTGGTTATTTATTCGATGCCGAAGTGGTTGTTTATGTCGCGGTTGCAGAGGATGTCTTATCGCAAATATCACTGCGCAGCTTGAATTATCGTCACGACATCACTTTGTATCTTTGTCAGCCGACTTGTCGTTGGTAATACGCCTGTTCGTAAACTATCTACAAAAATTGAATGAATTTTATTTAATATTCATCGCTTTGAAATTAAAACTTGTAACACTGTATTTCCTCTAACACCTATACATACAATACTTCTCACGCAGTACAATTCTTGCGATCAATCTATTCGATTAACAGCAGCGTTTCAATGAAAACATTTTATAATGCAAAATTAAATTTCCATGCATCAAGTCTTATATCGTCCTGGGAGATCCGATTATGAAAAACCTGCTCCAGAAATCCTCGGGCGTTGTCCTTCCGATCGAGTTTCGTGGCGAGCGGAATCCTGAGTCGAAGCAGCGGGCGGTTCGCATAGCCGCGGGAAGTTTAATTAAATTTGCAGCGTACTTTCTGAATCTCGGATGCGCTTGCGCGCGGCGTATTAAATCCGAGCGAACAGTGCCGCGCGCGTTTCCTGCAGGCTGAATTATTAATCGTCGCTCGGTATACTCGAATTAAAGTTGCTGGCGATGCGTGAGGCCGGGTTGGCGCGCGCGTCGCTAATCCTCGCATTAATCAGTGGCGTGACGCGTTTCCGAACGCGAAGAAGGTGGAGAAGAACGAGAGGAGACGGGCTAGCCGGGCAATCTCTTCTTGAGCAATCCCCGGCGGACGATTAAAATTTCCAGTCCCGGCGCGGGCACGCGTAGCCGCGCCCGACGACGTAATCCCCGCGACCTGGTCGCGAATAAATTTCACGTTTACCGCCGACGAAGCGCGAGCGAAATCGCTCGTTGCTTAAGCGGGCGTTCTCTTCCGGGCCCCGAGCAATAAAACGCGACCGCTGGCTTTTCATACGCCTGGCGTCGGAGAGAAAGTATCCGTGGCGCGAGAGCACCGCCGCACGGTCGCAGGTGGCTGAATAGACACTCGAGGCGCGACCCTTGCGTCGATAATCGAAAATTTTTTACGATGATCCATATTACCGAGATATTGGGACCCACGTGATTCAGTTTACCATCAAATACATTGATACTATAGCAACGATTTTTTGTTAAGATTCTTCTTTGAGTCGAATGTAAGTAATTCTAGCTTCAATATAATTTTATCTGATCATCGTACAATCAAGTATATTTCTCGCGTCCTGGCGGTGTATTAATAATGCAAATGGTCGAAGAGAAGCTTCCAGTATCACGTCTAATTCCCGTCAAGGAAAAGAACGAACCGAGAACGTTGGGGGAACGGATCTTGCAGTCGGAGGGGTGTGATTCGATGAGCGAGGAACAAGAAATCGTGGGGAGAGGCGGGGAAGGAAGGGACACTATTAATTGACGAGGAAGACTCCCACGAGAAGAGTCCATGGACCATAATTCTTTCTTAATGTGACGCTTTCCTCTGCTTCTCTTATTTCCACCCTCGAACGTATCCGCGTAATCTCTTCGCCCCGCTGGCAGCCGGGTCCAAGTGTTTTCTCTTCTCTGTACACAGACCGATGGTGGAAGGAAATACGAGCGGCGACTACGGCGGCGGGTAACGCGGAGGCGTGTGCGGTGCAGATCGAACCCGACGATGACCAGATATTATAGCCACCCCATAAAAGCTTCTCGCTCGGAGATTGAGCGTTCCCCGTTCCTCGGCCGTTTATTATTGCACGTCCGGCCACCACGAGTGGATTAAGACGAAACGAGGTTCGGAAGTCGCGCGATCCCTGTGACCCCGAGGGTGTGATCGAGGGAACAAGGAAAGGCGAGGCACCCTTGCGCGTACTGGTTATGAGCGACCAGAGAAATACGCACACGCGTGCACGGGGCAACCGAAATGATTGTTCGCGGGAAATATTAGCGGGGGGCGGTTCATCGCCAAGGAATCGATACCGATCTTGGGCCGATTAATATTTTAACGAGGTGAACCGGATTCAATCCTCCTTGAGGTATTAATAATTCCCAGGCAGCGAGCTGGAGGGAGGAGAATCGTCGGCGATATCGGTAACCTTCGTCGGAGCTCGTTCCAACCTTAACGACTAATTGGATAATGAATCATTCGGCGAAGTTATAGTGAAGACTTTTCTTTTTTGTGGCCGGGCGCGGGGTGGCAACCAGGTCCCGGGAAGTTCGCGAACCGTGAGCTTCCGCAGTATTCTTCAAAGTAGAAATTAATTGACAATTAACCGGCATTAATGCACCTCCATCGGATTTGTGTTTCGCGCGAGTGGAACGGCTCCCGGGGGAGTGACTACGGCGGACTTTAATCGCGCCGTCTCCCTACCTCTCTGACTACTCGAGCGTATCGTCCGCTCGTGTAAATTCGAAGGGATAAGGGAACTCGACAAAAAGACCGTGATGCTTCCTTGACGCCGGAGGCTTCGCCGCAAGGAGTGTCGAATCGACGGTAATTCCGTCCAATTAGGACACTCCCAATTAGGAGCCTCGACTGCGTTCCTTCTTTCCCCGCTACACCCTTCGCCATAGATTCCTGACTCTTCTTGTGGGGAGAAGCACGGCAGCTTCACCTTCGAGAAATCTCGAAGAAAGAACGGAAATACTTGAACTTCCTTGGAAACGACTTGGTCTTTGCACCGGGGTTTTAAGTACCGTTGATTGAACGGACGTGTACAGCGTCCCGGAACGTTTATACCTGCTTATGCCCCCTCTTGCACCGTTAGGGTGGATTCGATTGAAAAGCGAACCCCCCCGTTTTTTACAAAATTGGTTATCGAGTTTCCTTAGAAAATTCAAACTTGACGTTAATCAAATTCATTTCAATAGTCCATGTATCGATCAACTCATTCGTAACAACGAATCTTCATAGAATGTAACTAAATCAATTTCATGTAACACTTTATTACAAATGTAAGCATTCGCACAATAGTTTATCAGCAAATTGTCGGTTCACATCATATAATTTAACATTTTTCTCTTACTCAAATTAAGTCGCCAATCAGCCGAAATCCTAACAAACATTCAAGACTCGACACAAACTGACGGTCACTTGGTCTACATCGATTGTTCCAGGCCGCCGAGATCGAGAAGTCAAGACTGCCGGCGTTGAGCCCGGGTTTTGCAGGCGCGAACAACACCAACGGTTCTACAGACAGCATCCTCTCGCTGCTGATTCCGGCGCCGTTGCGCGAGACCCTGTGGACGACGGTGGCCCTCTACCTCGGATGGAGGCTGGTCTCCCGCCTCCGATAGATGTTACGGTCTCGTCCTGTCGTCGTCACCGGCGACGAAGGCGAAACTAGAACTCGAAGAATGATCATCGACGCTTGGAACGGCACCAGGTACAGCCGTGACGACGCGTCGTCATCCGGTGAACCGGCAACTGGTCCTTCTAGCCCGTCGGGGATTCCTCTTCAGGGTTACGACGCTTCTGGAAGTTCTTCCAAGATCGATGCCACGACTAGGAGAATTGCAGAGAAACCGGCCGTCCGTAGAGCACGCAGCGGACCAGTTTCGATGGTCAGTCGACCGATGGAGGGCCGAAAGTACTCGGCCCTGCTGGACGGTCCCCAAGGGACTTCCCACCGCCAACGATCAACACAATCTGCATTACGCATTTTCTATGTATATGTGTATTTGACGCCTCGCGATTGAGAATGCACTTGACACCGATTTCATTGACCCGTCGTTTGGGACTCTTCGTTCCAGTGTCTCATTGACGCGAAGAGCGAAGGATCCATCAATGGCGACGGGATCAACGAGAAAGGTTCGGACAGAGGCGTAAATGTTATTGAAGACGGGGATGGGAACTCGACCGCTCGGCTCGTCGAACGGAACTAGAGGCGTCTTGATTGCCAATTACCATTTTTGATGTTTCCTGTTTAGTACTTTGACGGTGAAAAAGAAGAGTTAAAAGCGATGATGACCGTACGTCCACGTAGATCTGGCTCCACCGACGATCGAGGGCGTCGCGCGATCCCCGTCGAAGCTTTCCGATAGATCTCAGTCTCGTCTAGATTTCGCTACTCGAGCATCCCAGCCGTGAGACGTGACGATCGGCGCGACGAGGCGTTTGTGCGGAGAGCGTATCCAGGTGCACTCTCGCTCGTCGCGGCGGATACCGATCGGAACAGGCTGTTTCCGTACTGTTCGAGTCGTGTGCCGATCGTTCGCCTTCCAATTTCGCGTCACGGAGAAGGTAAGAAGGGGACGATAGTCGTTACCTCCCGGCGGAACGGGACCGCCGAGGTCCGCGAACGGCGAGCGGATCGTGACACGGGTCTAGGTGAGGGTAACGGGGAGCTAAGGACGAGATCCAAAGAGGACTTAACCCAATAATCAAATGATGATCTCATTATGGATATAAAATAAAGAGAATTAAATAAAGTAGTGTGATTACGGGAACGGGACAGGTAGGCTGGTTCATCGTTTCTGTGTCGCTTCTGTTTCTATTTTCCGCCTAGCTATCTACTCTCTCTTTCAGTCTGTTCCTTTCCGTCTGTTGCGTCTGCCGCTCTGTTAACACCTGTCTGTCCCGTTCCCGTCGGTAGGAAGTATATTGACGTGCTTGTAGATAACGCGGTTACCTAGCCGATACAGGCAGGACAGAACTCTATCTGGGATATAATGACACCGTCGCCATGTCGTCTCGCGTACGGTCAACGATCGCCGGGCGATGGCCGGGAACAGAGGAAAACGACGCTAGAGGAACATTAGCGAAATTTGACACGACCGCGTCGTCGAAATTGTTTCGCCGTTAATTCTGTGTGTGTGTGCGCGTGTAATTTTTTGTTTCTCCTTTCTTTCAACGTATAGAAAAACGAAAAGCGCGTCGAAAACGATTTTCGGATTGACCCGTCCATTGACTCGACGACGATCGAGATTAACGCCGAACCCCCGTGGCGACGGTCGAATCGTCTGTACATAGAAAGTATCTCTGGAGGGGGAAGTCTCTCAAGTGTATTCCAAAAAGCTAAAATGACGAAAAAAGAGAACACGACACAACTATTAAAAAAAAGGAAAACGCGATACTGAGCAAGTAGGGAAAAAACGGGCGAGGACACGTAACGTGAGAGGGGAGAAACGTATTTGTATTTGTATAGAGGATTTAAACTAAAATAATAAAATTCAGTAATAAGTCGACGTTTATAATTAAAGTAGATAATCGATAGGTCGAGGATCGCAGCATCTTAATTGGCTAGCTGCGACTCCCGTGGACAGTTTTCGAATGATCTCCGGTAGCTTAGCTCTTAGTGGCGCCCTCGTCCGCGATGGACGCCTTTCATGACACGCCGGAACTGGGCTTTCTTGCAAACCCCTTTCTCCCGCGTGTCGCTCTCTCTCTAACTCTGTCCTTTATTTCTTCCTACCCCCGCATTCCTCCTTCAACTCCTTTTTCTTCGGTTTAATCATTTTCCCTCGCGACACCGTTTCTTTCGCGTCCTTGTGCGATCTTCGCATTCGAAATATCTCTGGTTTCTTTCTTCTCCTACTATCATTGCTGTTGTTTTTATCGACATTTTACTTCGTTTCGTCATCGTCATCTTGATCTTTTCTGGTTTCTTTACTCCCTTCTTCTTTTTTTTCGTTTGTTTGTTACTCGTCGATCTTTGAGAATCTATAATTGAACAGTTTTGATCTCGCGCGTCCGCATATTCTAGGTGTGATCGTTTGTGTTCGCGACCCGGCGCGAGACGATCCACGCGACCGAGGAGTTTCGACTTCGTTCGTGAGCGTTTAAAGAGGGATCTTTTACAATAAAGGATAGTTAGTCTCCCTGTCGAGACACAGCCGGTGGGCTCGACGGGATGAAACCAAAATCATCATAAGGCTGTCGATACGATAGTATATTCCTGTGGACCGTTCTATCTGTCTCTCTAATCTGTCTCTGTCCTCCCGAGTAAAGACTTCTCTGTGTGTTTTTTTTAATTATTAATAACTTTTTTTTGTACTGCGATCGCTATTATTATTATTATTATTTTTTTTACTACTTTTTTTGTTTGTTTGCCTCTTTCTCTTCCATCTTAAGGTAACGGATAAGGTTTTTCGTGACGTACTCCGTCGAAGTATTCCAGTGTGTAGAAAGTATAGTATTTATTTATAGGTAACAGGCCGCGTATTTGTCTGTCGTCTAGCGAGAGAGTTGTCTCTTTTTCACGCGAAGTATGAATACTGCCATTTGTCTTTAAACTAAAAAGGAAAAAAACGCGCGAGGTGTGTGCGTGCGTGTTGCAGGCGAAGCCATCGGCCCTGTTTGAGTGTTTCCTTCGTGGAGGCATGCCCAACTCTTTTTCGAAAGTCAATAATTATTAGGTAGTCCTCGGAGCGAGGGACAATCCCTTAGGAACGAGTGTTAGATCCGACAGCTTTCGACGAACAGGAGAGAGGAACAAGAAATTTTGTAGAATTTCGATGTTAACGGAGGAAAAACGAATGGAAAAAATGTTTACGAATCGTTTCATCGACGCGAACCTGAACCGTTTAACCGATGAACAGCAACTAGAGTCTTTGATGTTCTTGTCGTGAATAGTAAGTTAAATATATTAGGGTATTTTTTATCGAAACACTTCAGAAATCGCCGTATTTCTGGGGAGCACAAGTTCTGCGATGAACCATTCCTCTTATTCGTACTATCGATTGGTTCTCGCGATTCGTTCGATACGAACCAAGTAACCCTTTATCGTTCGTCCCACATCGTTCGATTAACCTTACATTCGAATCGGGATTATAGTAATCTAAAGGAAAATATAAATCGTACTTTAATCGTATTTCGTAAGATTCTAGAGAATGTCGACGCTTCGAGCCAGACCGTCGCTGCTTGCCAAGCATTTGAATCACCGACACATTCGCACGGTACGCATTAAAAAATTACTATTCTATTTCGTAGGTCCGAAACGCAGATTGCAAACAATTTAATCCGGAGTAATTAACTATTTCGTTACTAAAGATGACTATATTCACCTGTTGTTAAGCGGTCACTATACACTAAAGGTGGCTATAGTCACTCGTCAACATTATGTCTCAGTTGTAGTAGAATCTTCACTTTTAAACTTCAATTTCTCAAATTCGTATTCGTTCGAAATTACTTCAATTAGGAGGCGAGAAAGCGTTAAACAGCATAGAAAAACTCGTCAGGCCGAAGTCGTCGGTCGTTCCGTACATCCCCGAGTTCCGTCAAGTTCCGCCCTTCTCGTTCTCCAAACGATTGTTCGTTGGGGGTTCAGCAGCAACTTGTCTCCGGCTTTCGTCACTTTAGAATCTCTATATGTTTTCGATCAAGTTTTCTTCTCTCCTCTCTATTTACCCGAGGAGGGGGTAAACGCGAGAGCGAGCAGGATCGTCGTACAATTGTGATGTAATAAGATAGTAATTGCCATTTACTGTCGCGACCACGAGCCGCCGTACGTTAAGGGCTCGCTTGTGTGTGCGCGCGCGTGCGAAAGTTATTATTATTAAAAATAGCATTCCGACCAAAGGAAAAGGGTGATGACAACGTTGAAACGTGAACGCGAAAACGCCCGTGGATCCGCGAAGAGAGAAAGAACGCGAACTTTTCCTGTTTCCCTGCAGCGCGGTGAAATCCGTCGCCCGACAATGCAATGGCGGTCCCCGCGTGGCCGTGCCGCGGCTTATTCTGATCTCCTTTTTCACGTTCTCGTCTCCGCGCGACAAGTATACAAGCGATTCGAAGGGTAGACGGAGAAAATATACACGCGAAAAGAAAAGAAACTAAAATAGAGCACCGACGCAAAACAAGAACAAATTTCGCCCTGTGTACATTGTCCTCTGTAGTGCGTTGAATAGGAAAACAAGAGAAATAACGAGCAGCCGAGAAGAGTTGAAAACGGTGTGTAACGTTTAGAACGAACGATAGAAGCTACAAAAAGCGGAACAGTAAATTAACCACGCGACGTTTAAGATATATAAAAGAAAACGAAAACCGCGACCACTGAAAAAATGCATTGTACATAGCCGCTTGTTGTTCGTGGGGCCGTACCATAACCGTC